CTCTCTCTCTCTCTCTCTCTCTCTCTCTCTCTCTCTCTCTCTCTCTCTCTCGGTCTTTATCTTTATCTCTTTTGTTCTCCCTCCACCCCACCTTAAACATTCTGATCCAGTGTGTCTAGAGAAAAATACTTATCTCTACGTAATATTTTGACTTCCCAGTCACATCCACAACTAAAAAAATTAATGGAGCGAAAACAGCATTCTCCAACAATAAAATAAAATTATGAACAAAACGCAGTTTACCATTCTAAACATTTAGGGTAACAATGCATTTTGAGGAGAAGAAAAAAAATCAATTTCTCATCAAAATGTCATCGACTGGACAGGGTTTTTCAGAAATAGATCTATCCAGATTTGGAATGTAGTGTGTTATGAAATTGAATCTTTCAAATGCTCGCAATTCAGCTGTTCCAATGAAGTCCAAGGAGTGGCTAATGTCATTAAGTATGTCGAGCTAAAATACAGAAGCCAGACACTTTTCCGTGTGGTAATTATTGGGGCGTTTCAAGAGGAACATAGATGGAAATATACAGGGTTCTTTAGCATACGTCTGGACCTGTACAAAAACTTAAACGTTGAGCGTTCCGAATCTTTCTTGTTTTGTTTTTTTTGGGGGGTGTTGTTCTTTTTGGGGGTAGGGGGGATAGTTTCTTGCTGTTGCTGGCTGTTGTTGCTGACAGCGTCCGTCAGTGCGAGCGTACGATTGTGCGTCATTGAGTGTGTGTGCGAGCGTGTGTGTATGCGAGCGAGGGTGCGTGCATACGTGCGTGCGTGAGTCTGTACCTATGTGAGTGGGGATTTCTTGCACAATGTCATTAAAATATGAGACAACGCCGTTTTTGTTATTGTTATTCGTGTGTGCATGTGTGTGTGTGTATGTGTGTGTAAGAGTGTGTGTATGTGTGTGTGAGTTTTTTTGGTTTGTTTCTTGTCTTTGTTTGTTTGGTTGTTTTTTGTTGTTTTTTTTGGGGGGTGGGGTAGTTAAGAAATGATCGTCTGTTTAGATGATTATTTCTAGAGTAGGTTTGACTGCCTATTATTATAATTTCTATCACGTATCCCCTTCCTTCATCTGGGTTAAATCTCTCTCCTTAACTCAGGGTTGGTCATGACGCGACATCTTGGTCTCTGTATAAGTGTCTATGACTGAGTTGTTTAAGGACGGATTTTGAGAATTCTTTCTGTTTTGTTCAAGCTTTACTAAGTTAATTCAAATTCAGGTGGTAAAAATTTGATTTCTGACATTTCAAATTTTTGCTTGTGGTACCTGCATAGTAGTTCACTGTTTAACAGTAAAGATAATAAAAGGTACATTTTGTTTTTTCCTTGCTTGTTGGTCCGTCTACTTGTGTGAAAAGTGTGCACACTGAGAGGCAAGGTTGGTCGCCCGCCTCCTAAATCATGTTGACTTTCATCCACAGATATGAGGAGTATCCTAAGAATTAAGTGGTAGGATAGAATAAGAAATGAAGAGCTGTGGAAAAGGACAGGACACAAGGATATAATTAGAAATAGGACTACGAAAGGGGCGATGGATGGGACACACATTCAGAAAGCCCGGGGGAAACATCACAAAACAGTCGCTGCAATGAGCATGAGGCAGGGGTAGGTTACAGGAAACATGGAGGAGATGTGTGGAAAGGAACATGAGAGAGATGAAGCTCACTTGGAACGAGCTTGGAAGGATGGCCCAGGACAGAGATAAATGGAAGGAGCTTGTATGTGGCCTATACCCTGCCAGGAGTGGAAGGCATTGATGATAGTGATAGTAAAATGGGGGAATTCCACGCCATACATTTCAATTGGATTGTGAGACAAGTGTTATAGAAGCTACTTTATGTACTTTATCCTCCACAACAGTTTTACTTTGGGTCTGATAAGTTGGGAAACAAAACATAATATGATTCTACGATATCACCATCTCCATATTTCCATTTTTCAACTTAATTAAAAATGTAATATTGAGGAGCAATTCCACACCCACATGAGCATACATGACAAAATGAAAATAAAAAGACAGACATACAAGAAAATTAAAACTGAATTGAAAAATAAAACATGGTAGACAGAAGCAAATGATTAAAGCTGAATGTCAAACAGATTTCTGTTGGTTCTAATTCTAAGGGCTGTAAGTGGGGGTGTGGAGTTCCCCCACCTTCCCATATCTATTGCGACTCCTTGGCTCCTTCTTACTGCTGTCTTTCACCCACACCCTTGATCTCAGGATAGGTGAGATGTAACACTTAACCTTCTCGGAAAAGGGCCAAAAAATCTCGAAGGTCCTGTGTGCAAGTTACGCACGCTAGAGATCCCTCAGTAATCTTAGAATAAGAGTCGGCTTCAGCCGCCACCCGGGCAAAATTCAAAATTAAATCCTACCAAACTGAACATGTTTGATCTGTCCTGAGCGCTCATCTGACCGTACACAGTTGCGAGGGAAAACACTTACCAAAAATTAAACATTAT